CCCATGCACCTGAGCCAGTATCTCAGTGCACTCATGGGACGGGGCGTCCAAGTCTGGATTTGGCAGCAGTGAAGCAGGGTTTAAAGAGGTTGGGGGCAGAAAAGTTATTCTGAGGGGGTTAACAGCAGTCCTTGATAGTGGGTGAGCCGGGCGTTACTCATCCATCGGTCCGGCGGCTGCCGGAGGACGCCTTCAATGGCATGCGGGTTATAACGCGCAACTCTTGCCCCATGATAAGTTTATCAGCGTCTCGGACCATTAGGGCGGTCGCCGCGATTATCCGGAGGCAGGGTGGCCAGCCAGCAGCCACTGAATCTAATTTTTTTGACAAATAGGCAACTGGCCTCTGCCAGGGCCTAGGTACTGTGTTAACACGGCTTTGCAACACCCTTACTTTCATCCACGTATAAGTGGAAGGGCTTGGAGACATCAGGGAGCCCCAGCGTGGGGGCTGATAACAAGGCAGTTTTGATTTGCTGAAAGGCCAGCTCAGCCTCTTCCGTCCAATTGAAGGGCTGCCGTTCCTTTGTTGCCTGGTATAGGGGCTTGGCTAACTCAGCAAATCCGGGTATCCATAACCTACAGAACCCTGCCGACCCCAGGAATTCTCTCACTTGCCGTGTTGACTGGGGTCTAGGGATGCGTAGGACTGTTTCCTTTCGGGCTTTGGTTAGCCAGCGTTGCCCCCCTTTTAATAGGTACCCCAGATAAGTTACCTCCGACTTGCAGATCTGAGCCTTTGTTGCTGAGGCTCGGTAGCCTAGCTCCCCCAGAGTCTTCAGGAGGTCCTCAGTCCCTCGAACACAAGTTTCCGGGGACCTGGCCGCTATTAAGAGATCATCAACATATTGCAAAAGAGTTATTTCAGGGTGTTGCCGCCGTACTCACCCAGATCTTCATGAAGGGCTTCATCGAACAGGGTTGGCGAGTTCTTGAACCCTTGTGGCAGTCTGGTCCATGTTAGCTGACCGTTGATGCCCCTCTCAGGATCCGTCCATTGAAATGCAAAGAGTTCTTGACTTTTGGGAGCCAGAGGAAGGCTGAAGAAAGCGTCTTTTAGATCAAGAACGGTATACCACTGTTTTTTGGGATGTAAGGCACTCAGAAGGGTGTATGGATTGGGCACAGTGGGATGTATGTCCATGACCCTTTTATTAACTTCTCTTAAATCCTGTACTGGCCTGTAGTCCGTACTGTTGGGTTTACGAACAGGTAACAGTGGAGTATTCCAGGATGAGTGGCAAGCCCGTAGGACTCCCTGGTCTAGGAGTCGGCGGATATGGGGCGTAATTCCTTCTCTTGCCTCCGGGGGCATAGGATATTGCCGAACCCGAACCGGGTCCGTCCCTGGCTTAACTTCCACAAATATGGCAGGTTGATGTTTAGCTAGCCCCAAGCCCCCAGTTTCTGCCCACGCTTCAGGGAAACGCTGGAGCCAAGAGTCAATTCCCTGATCGGGGGGCTTTTGCTCTTGATGGAGTCGGTACTCATCTTCTAAGGTGACAGTCAGGATAGATATTGGCCTGTTTTGGGAATCAGTTATCTTGGGCCCTTCTGGCTCAAAGTGGATTTGGGCCCCCATCTTTGTCAGCAAGTCCCTCCCTAGTAGAGGGCAGGGGCTCTCTGGGATGACTAGGAAGGAATGGGAGACTTTTCCCGTTCCTAAGTCTACAGTCCTCTGGGTTGTCTAGGGGTATTTTTTGATGCCTGTGGCCCCGTGGACCCAGGATGTTTTCTTAGACATTTTTCCAATTGGTTTGGTTAGGACTGAGCGTTCCGCCCCAGTATCGACCAAGAAGTGAACTGGGGACCCCTCCACTTGCAAAGTTACCCTGGGTTCGGGGAGGGGGTCCGAACCCCGTCCTCCCTAGTCAGAGTCCTGGGTAACGAGTACGGAGGTAGGGTTAGCTGGTCTCCGTTTCTTTGGGCAGTGTTTAATCCAGTGGCCACGTTCCTTGCAATAAGCACACTGATCTTTTTCTAATCCTTGCCTAGGGCCTTGCTTTTTCTGCTTTCTGTTTTGGCCATTTCCTGCCTGGGGGAAAGCTGCTACTAAGACTTTGGTCATTTCTTTGGTTGCCTTGAACTGTTTTTCTTCTGGAGTATCCCTATTATTATAAACTCGCTGGGCCATCTGAAGGAGGTCCTGAATCTGCTTTCCCTCTAAACCTTCTAATTTCTGGAGTTTTCTTTTAATATCTGGTGTTGCCTGGTTTACAAAGGACATTACTACCGCTGCCTGATTTTCCGGTGCTTCCGGGTCCATAGGGGTAAACTGTCTGAAGGCTTCCATTAATCTCTCTAAATACACAGCGGGGCTTTCTGTCTTACCTTGTAACACAGAATATACTTTAGCCAAATTGGTGGGCTTGCGAGCTGCAGCCCGGAGACCCGCCATTAGAGTCTGGTGATAAATGAGCAGTCGTCCCCTACCTTCTGCCGTGTTGTAGTCCCATCTGGGCTGGGTCAAAGGGAAAGCCGCATTAATGAGGTCAGGATTTGCAGTTGGCTGGCCGTCATCTCCTGGAACCAGTTTTCTGGCCTCAACTTGGATTCTTTCCCGCTCCTCCGTTGTGAACAGGATTCGGAGGAGCTGTTGACAGTCATCCCAGGTCGGCTGGTGAGTAAACATGACACTGTCTAACAACGAGGTTAGATCTTTGGGATTATCTGAGAATCGAGCATTTTGGGACTTCCAATTGTATAAATCACTGGTGGAAAAAGGCCAATACATGAGACGGGAGAGCCCGGTATCATCGAGCGATCCTATTTCTCTGAGAGGCAGGGCTACAGTGGAGTCAGGGAGTCGGGAAGCTTGGTCCCGCTGTACGCGGCCTCGTGTTCGGCCGGCCGGCCCCCCCAGGTTACTTTCGCTCTCGGCTGCTTTCGCTTCTCGGTTTCCCTCTACGGAAGCACCACCCTCGGGGACTGGGTCCTGCGGGATAAGGTGCGGATATGGTGGGGGAAATGTGGGTTCTAACGTTAGGGGGTCCTGGCTGTCCGGCAGCACAGGGGCCGAGGGAGCAGAGGGAGTCTTTTGTCTTGTAGGTCGCGTTACTAGGACTTTGCAGGGCTCAGGGATGAATGGAGTTATCCAGGGTGGTGGGTTTTCCACAAGATCCTGCCACACTAGAATATAAGGAATTTGATCAGGATGTCCTGACTGCCCTGGCAGGAAAATCTTAGTTTTTACCTTAGTAATAATAGAGAGACAGAAAGTTCCTTCGGAGGGCCACCCTACGCCGAAAGAGGGCCACTCCGAACGGCAGAAAGTAACTAGCTTTCCCTTCTTTAGTTCTACGCTTAAGTTATGCCCCCGAGACTTCACATCCTTAAAATTGGTAACAAGGAGTGAGGGCGGCGTGCTCTGGTTGTTGCCCATCTTTGGACTGCTCCTACAAAGAGAAGGGGGGACGAAAATGAGTGTGAAGCAGAGGGGAGTATCCGACAGGTCCGGTCCTGGAAGGGGAAGAAAAGGTTTTATGTTTCGTTTTGGACTTACACTTAACACTTAACAATAACGGACAGACAGTAATAACGATGAGCATTCGCGAGCGCGTGTCAGACTTCCGACCTGAGTCAGACGGGGCAACCAAGGATGGAGGCCCCCAGATGGGCACTGGGGAACGTCTCCCACCAGTCCCGAGTGGCTGTCTTCTAGCACGTCTGCCAAGACCGTGCCACTTACAGAACAGACCAATACAGATTACAGATTACGGATTTCGCGAAATTTCAGGGAGACAGACAGAGACAAAGACAGAGACAGTGACAAAGCCGGCTTACCTACAGATTAAGATCCGTTGACTTGGGGGTCTGGTGGGCTTGGGGGAAATCCCGGACGAGCCCCCATTTGTTATGCCCAGACCGTTTATTCCCCGAAGAAGACCACCAGAGTCCAGAGTCAAAGCTAAGCAGCAAGGATCTTTATTACAGGTTCGAACCTGGAACTCTCCCTCGCTCGTGAAACGAGACGGGCAGGAGAGAAGGATCTAGCAAATGGGTCTGAGGAGACATTAATGAGGTAGAAGGAAAACCAAGAAGTAGGATGCTTTGGAGGGAAAGTGAAGAAAGAGACTGATCAAGGTCACTGCTGACCTTGACAAGTAGTCTCAGTGGGGTAACAAAGATGATATATTTATTAGAGCAGACACCAGAAAGAATGAGAGATGAGGAAATAGAGGCAGCAAGCGAAAACAATGAAAATTGCTCTAAAGGGAAGTGGTAGCTGGGGGAAAGGATATGGGTTCAGGGGAAGGTTTTTTTCCCTTTTTTAAAAAATGATGGGAGGCATTTTGAACTGGAAAGAAGCCAACTGGGACTTGGGTGTGATTTGAAGAGAAGATGGCCTGTACCATAGTCTGAGAGTTAAATGGCACCTTTACTGATTATTGATATAATACCCTATGGCTTGCTTATAGTACAGTTACACTTGTGTTGTGTGATAGGGAATCTTGCCAATAGAAGGAAATTGGTCTAAGATAGGAGATTGGTTTTGACTTGATAGCTGTCCATAAGATGGCAGCAGAGCTAGGAAATTAAAAACAACAACAACAACAAAGAAAAACTCTGCAAGGTGATCCCCGCAGGGTAAAGACTTTTTAGCAAACTCTTTAAATATGTTAAAGAAAGTTCAGCCCTTCCTCTCCAGAGCCTCAGTGCTAAATTCTTGCTTAGAGACCCCAAAGGCTCCAGACTTTGTGGGATACAATTCCTAACATGGCAGGCTATGAGCCCTGCAGGGGAGGGAGCAACTATAAAGCTGATTGAGTGTAAAAGAATGGCTAGTACAGAAGGAAGATGTAGCTGTTATATTGAAGCATTAAAAACAAACAGACAAAAAACTAGGCCAGGTGCAGTGGCTCATGCCGATAATTCCAACCCTTTGGGAGGCTAAGGTGGGAGGATCACTTGAGGTTAGAAGTTTGATACCAACCCGGACAACTAGCAAGACCCTGTTTCTACACAAATTTTTTTAAAAAGCTGATTGTAATGGCACACACCTGTAGTTTCACCTACTTGGGAGTCTGAGGCAGGAGGATCACTTGAGCCCAGGAGTTCCAGGTTACAGTGAGCAATGATCATGCCACTGCTCTCCAGCTTGGGTGACAAAGCAAGACCCTGTCCCTCTCTAAAAAACAAGACAAAACAATAGCAATAAAACAAACTAGTCTGAACCATTGTCATTATGAATAGACTGATTTTTCCAGAGTAATCACTGCCATTCACTATCATTCCATAAGAGCCATTGATGCTGAATTCCAATGTGTGTGGCTACATTTTACCAAAAAAACCTAGTATAGAAGGACCTAATTTATGCTGGGAAGAAGGGAGACACTCATGCTGAGACTGGACTTTTAATGTGAATAGTCACAGCAGGTAATATGTACATAGTGCTTTATAGTTTACAAAATATTTTACATTTTTTGGTCCTTTTAGTTGTGATACTTATTGAGACCCTTGAGCAAGTATCATTGATATTATTCTCATTTTCATTTTTCTGATTTAAAAAGGCTTAGAGAAAGGTTATCTGACTTTTCCAACATCACACAGCAAAGGAATAGCTAAGCTATTCCTTCAGGCTCAGGACTTTTGTCTCCATACCATTGGATCTACGTATAGAGATGGGGATGGAGAATGCGTAAAAAGGCATCACGTTTAGGTTGAATGAAAAGTCAGAGAGTAGTTAAGTTTGGTGGTAAACAGAAGATGAAAGAAGGTAGCGAAGAACTGTCTTCTACTAATACTATCATCATCATTTTTTTAAGAGATAGAATCTTGATCTGTTACCCAGGCTCCGTGGAATGCAGTAGTATGATCATAGCTCTCTGCATCCTTGAACTCCAAGGCTCAAGCAATCCTCTTGCCTCAAACTCCTGAGTAGCTGGGACTACAGGCACATACCACCACACCCAGCTACTTAAAACAATATTTTTTTTGTAGAAACAAGGTCTTGCAATGTTACCCAGACTGATCTCGAATTCCTGGCCTCAAGTGATCCTAGCACCTCGGCCTCCTAAAGTATTGGGATTATAGGTATGAGCCAACATACCCGGCCTTATATTATTTTTAAACATTATTTATATAGAAGAATCAAATTTATTCTGTGTAACTTTGGAGAGTTGACTAGGACAGGAGATCCCACTCAATATTAGAAAAAGAGCTCTACAAAAAAGACATTATTATGTTACATTCCTGAAATGTTGAAATAGGAGCTAGAGGAGTATTTGACAAGGCTGTAGACAGAAATATTTGACCTTATGACCTCTAAAATTCTTTTCAAGACATTTTATCTGCGAAAACCTGAATAGCAACAATTACAGTTCCACAACACTCTAGTTCTACAGAAGCAGAGTGAGATGTTACACTGTGCTTTCATGTTTCAATAATTATATACCTATCCATGCATGTCCACTTCTGCTTGACGCCACTCAAGTGGGACCTGAGGAGCTGGGGTGCTAGGGCAGAAACAGTAAGGTCTGTGCCTGATCCTAGACAAAAGTGGAAGCAATTCACTGCTTCATCTGTCAGGGAAGGGCAACTCTTTAGCTTACCAAACTGAGAAATCTTCTGGTTCAACACCAGCAGGAATTCAATTTGCAGCAAGATAGACCTCAGGGGATTGAGGCAATGATTCAGAGAGGATGGGTGGGGTAGGGTTACACAGGAACTTTAGAGAAAGAACCGTTTGTGGGTGGAAGCCTTGGGCAGAGGTGCACTCAGTAGAGAAGAAAGCCATTTGTTCCAGAACAGCAGTTTAAAGGGGGTGTGTTTTGTGTGGGCAATGGTTTATGAGGAAAGGGTTTGTGGGGAAGAAGCATGTGGGGCTACTGATAGGCATAGAAACACTTGTTGAGAAACGTGGTTCTTAGGGGGATTAGCAGGTGGTTTGGTGCAGTGAAAGAGGCCAGAGGGGCAGAAAGAAAGGTCCTAGCTGTGGCCTTAAACACACATGCACAAGCACCAAAAAGCAAGGAAGAACCCCTTATCCTCTCAGCCAAGATAAGCAAGCACTGTTACCAGTTAGGTGTGCTTACTACGGATTTTATACATTTTAGGGAAAATTTCTAATGTCCATTTGTCCTGAACTTTTAACTTGGAATATCTTTAGGTTTACAGAAAACTAGAAAGGATATAAACGAACACTAGTGTACCTCTCACCTAAACCATCAATAGTCAATAATTTGCTCCATACATTTGTTTTCTCCTGAGCCATTTGAAAGTAAACTGCTGCAGACAATTTGCCTATCAGTCCACTTTTGAATATATTGGCATGCATCTCTAAGAATAAGGACATTCTCTAACATAACAGCATTGGCATTATGAAGGTCTTACCTAAGAAGATCAACATTAATTCATAAGATCTGCATGTGTGTTACTTATCAGTACGGTTTATTATGGATTCTAAATGCTTTCCCTTTTCTTATTTCTCTAGCCGCCATCTTTGAAGGTAAAACCTCAACTGCATATCTGGCCAGCCAGGCCAGGCCAGGCCAAAGTACCTGTATACTGGGTAAGGGAATAAGAAAGACTCTCTCAAAGAGCACGGGAACCTGGAAGCCTGTCAGAGGTCATCTCTCAGGGGAGCCCAGGACTCTTCCTTTGCTGGGCTAATCTTAACTGCTGACCTCCATGCACTGCTCAGGGCTCCCTGCCTCCCTTCTTCCCTATTTCCTTCCTTCCCTTTCCTCTCCTTTCCTCTCTCTTTCACCAAACCTTTACGAACAACTCTTCTGTGCTAACTTCTGTGCCAGTGTATCAGTCTGTTTTCACGATGCTGATAAAGACATACCAGAGACTGGGAAGAAAAGGAGGTTTAATTTGACTTACAGTTCCACATGGCTGCGGAGGTCTCACAATCATGGCAGAGGGTGAAAGGCACTTCTTACTTGGCGGAGGCAACAAAGAATGAGGAAGATGCAAAAGTAGAAACCCCTGATAAAACCATCAGATCTCGTGAGACTTACGACCACGAGAACAGTATGGGGGAAACCACCCGATGATTCAAATTATCTCCTACCAGCTCCCTCCCACAACATGTGGGAATTATGGGAGTACAATTCAAGATGAGATTTGGGTGGGGACACACAGCCAAACCATATGAGCCAGTATCTGCCATCCCAAGTGAACTTAGTCTGTGAACTCAAAAAAGTTCTGGCCGAGCGCGGTGGCTCACGCCTGTAATCCCAGTGCTTTGGGAGGCCAAGGCAGGGGGATCTTGAGGTCAGGAGATCGAGACCATCCTGGCTGACATGGTGAAACCCTGTCTCCACTAAAAATACAAAAAATTAGCCAGACGTGGTGGCGGGCACCTGTAGTCCCAGCTACTCGGGAGGCTGAGGCAGGAGAATAGCTTGAACCCGGGAGGCAGAGGTTGCAGTGAACCGAGATCGCACCACTGCCCTCTAGCCAGGCGACAGAGCGAGACTCCATCTCAATTAAAAAAAAAAAAAAAAAAAGGTTCAGAAAAGGCAGAGATTCTTCTGGCGAGTTGTTCCTTTCTTTGGTTCTGTGACCCGCCATTTAGTAGCATCGTGCAGATGGACTGGCTTGTCCACCTGGTGGCCCTACCAGGGTATACCAGCTCTGCATGGAAAAAGCCTCTGCTCCTTGGATCGCTAATATTACCTTGATCATCATCATTACCTGACTACAGCACTAGACACAGTTTCATGAAGAGAAAGCAAACCCTTTCATCCTGAAATTTTAACTCAGTTGCTCCTCCCATGGGGTGATTCTTGGTGCAGGGGAAATACCTATTTGCAAATTGAGGGGCATTTGTGTCTACCTTCTTGACTTAGGTGGTTTCTATTTTGTTTTTCGTATGGTTGTTGGCTGTCCTTTCAAGATTGTTTCTAGGCGTCAAATGTAAAAATGAAGGTCTGTGAGCTAATTTTAACATGTCAGGCATCTTACTGGAAACCACACATTTACTCTGAATGAGGCTACAACATATCAACTAAAACTAAGTTTATTTGAACTATTCAAACCATTGTGGTCATCTCATTCTTATTAAAAACTCTTTTTTGGTAAGTTTTATTCATTTATTCATTTTTATTAATACAAATGGGAAAATAAAGTGGTAATTCGTAGGTATGAATATTAAATGGCAAAATTTCTTCAACAGTTGAAATTATTAGTACCACCTGAGAATTAAATCAGGTCAAACCAGCATTTGGTAAATAGTAGTCACCATTTGTAGAATTAAACCATCAAAACTTCTCATCTGTCAACTAGGGCTAAGGACTTACAGACTTCAGCTCTGGGAACCAAAATGCCAGCTTCAGGAAGCGTAACGATTTCAGCCTCCATACAATGATGGCATAATCAATCAAGTTGTATCCTGCCTCTTTTCTCCCACCTAAATTTGATTCATGTTATTATTTATTGCAGACAGTTTTGCAAGCTGACTTTAATCCTATCTTGGAACAAGGTGGAGTATAAAAGAATACAAATCAACAAGCATGCTAATGTATTTTAAGAAGGAGATAGGAGAGTTTGGAAATTGGAAAGGGAAATTCTAAATTATGAGAATTGCTTTCTACTAAGCCATCATTGTCCAGGAATAAGACAGTAGCTCAGTTTTTAATTTCAAGTCAGAAATATTTTCCCAAACTTATCCTGGCCTGAAGGAACTGTGACACTGCTGACCACTGATACTTACCAAGCAATCATCTCTTTGAGGTTTGGTCTCCCACTTGAGTCAGAGAGATAATGTATGGGGCAAGTTTATTTTCACTGCACATATTTTTCAGTGTAGATCTTGTTCATAATTTTAATTGGGGATTGGTTGGTGTGAGTCAGTCGCATGAAACTGAAAAACTTGCCGGACACAGTGGCTCATGCCTATAATCCCAGCACTTTGGGAGGCCAAGGCAGGCAGATCACCTGAGGTCCAGAGTTCGAGATCACCCTGGCCAAAATGGTGAAACTCCATCTCTACTAAAAATACAAAAATTAGCCAGGTGTGGTGGCGGGTGCCTGTAATCCCAGCTACTTGGGAGGCTGAGGCAGGGGAAGCTTGAACCCGAGAGGCGGAGTTTGC